TATATATTTTTGTCTTTAAAAGAGTCCCTTCTGTTTTATTTCCTTCATACAAAATATCAAGCATGCAAGAAAAGACATCAAATGCAGTTAATTTACAATAGAAAACATGAAGACATCTTGAACATGAGAGAAAGGATCATCAATAGAAATTAAAATAGAAAAGAGATATTATGAAATAGAAAAAGGTTTTATCTATTGCTATATAATCAATCACTTTGACTTTGAAAAGTAATTTGTAATAACATGTGCCATCTTTAAAGAAATTTTACTACTTCACTTTTATACATGCATGTTATCAGCTCTCTGAAATAATGCAAACATCTAGAATACAAAACGCTGAACGACAAGTGGGACATGGTGCTCTGGAAGACAACCACATTTCTGGCTGGTCTTGATTCTGTCGAGCAGCAAACCTGCAAGAGTGAAAGAGCCATTATCAGAAACGAGTTAAGTTCTAGATCACTCATGATCCAAACATAACAGGGAAAAACAAATGAAAAGGTCTGAGAAATAAAAAACAATGGGAGGGGAAAAAAGAAAGAAATATATTATTTTTTCTTATTATCATTTGTTGTTTTTTGTTTCCTTCCTTTGTTTTTGTACACATCGTCAAATTTTAGTCAATGTTAAAAGATTTTTTTTTTTAGAATATATTTCTTAATTAAATATGTTATGTATACTTGTTATGACATGAAAAGAGCTTGAGAAGGATTAGCTTTGACAGGGTAAATCCACCAAAAATAATAGAGGCCTTTCAAAGCCTTCAAATGTATCTCTCTCCCAGGGGCTTCGCTTCATTGATAAATACATCAAGAGCTACCGCTAGGGTTTCCAGAGATTCAGATAGAATAGCAACATCATCAGCAAAGTCAAGGTCTGTAACCTTAATATTGCCCAAAATTGCTCCACAGTGACTTTGGACAGTAACTCTTCCCAGTATCCAATTCAGGCAAATGTTGAAAAGTGTTGGTGCAGCCTTGCCTCACACCTGATAGGCCCCCACCACACTTTACAGCACTTTAATACATGTATATAGGTTTGCTATTAATTTAATAATTCTTGTTTGAATTCCTCTTAGTCTCAGGATCTCCAAAAGTGATTCACGATGCACAGTATCAAACATCTTTAAGGTCAATGTAAGCTGCGAGCAGCCCACGTCTGAACAAACGACGGTGCTCTACAATGACTCGAAGAACCAGGGTATGGTCTATTGTGGACTTGCAAGGAGTGAATCCACATTGTTCCAGCCTTGGTTCCTCAGTAGGTGGTCTCTGATACGTCTCAGTAGGATATGCGGGAGTACCTTGCCTAGTATACTGAGTAGTGTAATGCCTCGTTGATTGCTGCAGTCCCACCAATCCCTTTTCCCCTTGCAGGGAGGGATGACCACACCCCTCAGCAGGTCAGGGGGAATGGTACCAGTCTGCCAGATGGCAGACAGGACAACATGCAAGCTCCTTGCTATAGGTTCTCCACCAGCCTTTAACAGTTCAGCTGGAATGCCACAAACACCTGCTGCTATCACTCTTCAGTTTGGAGATCGCCCCTTCAGTCAGGGAGGGTGGATCCTTGCTGATGGGTGGGTCTGGCAGAGGAATCTCAACATTACCCGCATCCAAGTTAACTGCTGGTGGATCAGCCTGATACAACTGCTCAAAATACTCAGCCTAACACACACGCACCCCATCAGGATCTAAGATTATCTGGCCACTTGCTGAGCGGACTGCAGTCGTCTGTGAGGAGGGCTTGGAAACCAGGACAAAGGCCATTTACTAGGAAATGGCTATCGACCTCCTCTGCAAGATTCCTGATAAACTGCAAGATTCCTTATCCCTTCTCAACAGTGGCCTACTCCTACGCACCAGAGTACAGAGGAAGTTGTGATCTCCTGACAGTTGAGCTGCACAACAAGCATCTGTGGCTTCCAGGGTCTCCTGCAAGATGAAATTCTGTCTTGCTCTTGGGCATTCACCAATAGATTCTTAGGCTGCATCAAGTGTTTCATGCTTGTACCAAATCCAACCATGTGGGTCAGAACGCTGATACCAGGAGCCAGAAATCTTCCATTTTTTCGGGACCTAGCAAAGTCACAGAAAAGGAGGCTATTCTCGCTGCTAGTATCAGCTCCTGAGCCATGAGGACCGACAGACATCTCGTAGCCAGCTCGATCGTAGCTAGATACCGCACTGAAATCACCCAGAACAATGCGAATATCTCGCTGGAGACAGCTATCTGTCGCAGATACAAGTTTGGCGTAAAACATCTCTTTCACCTCAAGTTTAAATACATCTGTAGGAGCATACACAGCAGTAAGAGACATGAAGCCAAATGAGAGCATCAGTCTCAATACCATAATACACTCATCGACTGGAGTGACCTCTACTAACAAGGCTATTGCTGCAGCCTGACCAGTAATAAGTGTAGCCACCCACACTAATCGTACCGCTGCCAGGTCTTCTCATCTCTATGAGAGCAGCCACCTCAAAACTCAGCTGTTTCA